TCTCCCCCACACCGAACCCGTCACAGCAGCACAACTTCAGATGCTGCTGCGTGGCGAGGCGGAGGAAGTCGCTGTGGGCGAGATGTGGGTTTTCCGCGAAATGCTTTTGCTGCATCCGGCCCTGTTGCTGGGCAGAAAAAGCCAGGCAGCCCGGCCCTCTCGGCCAAGGCGCTCCTTCCCCTTCGGATTTTTCCGCAGGAGGAGTTTTTGGGGCTTGCGGTGACTCAGGAGCATGAGGACTAGGAAACTCAGCTGGCCTTGCAGAAATCCTGACCCGTCTCTCCCTTGTGTTTTGGCCTTGCTTTGCAATTATGCCACTGGCACCATTCCTGCATTTCTAACAGAATTTTAAATCTGCAACGATTAAGCTTTTGGGAGGCTAACGGGAAACCCAAGGGTCCCTTGTCCCGTGGTGAAGGCAGATTTCTTCCCTCCCTCCCTCCCTCCCTTCCTCCCNCCCTTCCTTCCTTCCTTCCTTCCTTCCTTCCTTCCTTCCTTCCTTCCTTCCTTCCTTCCTTCCTGGTTGTGGCAGATTGTGCCCTGCATGAGCCCTTTCACAAGTGCCCACTCCTCCTGGTGCACTTCACTCAGTTGGTTTGGCTTTCAGACTTATTTCAGCCGCATGGCTTACAAAAGGGGTTACCATGTTGGTTTAGGCGGATTTTATCCCCCTTTCCAAGCTACCAGGGGTGCCTGGCCAGGACCAAGAAACGGGAAGGCTACTTCCTTTGCATCCTGATTGTGTTTCCCCCCCTCCATGGGGGAAAGAGGATCCTGGACCTTAAAGAGGATAAGGGCCCAATGTTCCCTGAGCTTGACTGCCACAGTGTCCTCTCTGTGGGACTCCCCTTCTTGGCCTTCATTTGAATCTGAGCAAAGATAGGTCGTTTATAACTTCCAGCCAGGAAGCGAAGTGGGGACAAATATATAAAATCTGGTGGGGTTTTTTTTTTGCAACCGGCCGTCCTCATTCAAGAGTCAGCATTTGTCCCAAATCCTTTTGGCAAGGTTTGCTTCTCCCACAGTCGGCTGCAGGCCTTCCCCCTTTTTGGTGTAAAACAAGGAAATGGGCTCCGTCCTTCGAAGGGAGAACGAGAGGGCCAGGTTTCAGCAGGAGGGGAGCCAAAGCCTGGCACCTCCTCCCCCCCCCTTAAGATCTCCTTCTGGGGAAGCGCCTGGCTCTGAACTGGAAAAGAAAAATGTTCACCAATAAGCATCAATAAGGAGTTGGGGTCCTGCATGGATAGAGAAGCCTTGCAGATCTGGAAAAGGCATAGGGTTGCCAGGTCTGCTTCCAAAAAATAGCGGACAAGCGGGGGGGGGGGGGGTTAAGTAGTAAAAAAAGTAGACTGTACAGCTTTAGATTACGTACCATTTCATCCTAAAGCTTTTGAATAAAAAAAATGTCCACTATTTTGTGAAAAAAAAATAGTGAACATAATGTGAAAAAAGTGGACTGTCCGCTCAAATAGTGGACACCTGGCAACCCTAAAAAGGCAAACCTGGTTTCCTTTTTAGGACTTAGCTAAATCAGGTTTTGGCACCTTGATCCTGGTTAGTGCCTGGATGCAGACTGCCCCACCAATATGCCTGGTGGCGCTCATTCCTGGCATTTCTCTCTCTCCCCCCCCCCTTTGGTTGTTAGCAAGAAGACTAAAAAAAAAGCCTCATTGTTCTTGCAAACCCTGGGTGATTCGCACCCGGGGTTAGTCAGGCCTCAATCATCTTGCTGACTGTTAAGGGGTGGGTGTGGGGGGGAGAAGATTGCTCTGCATTTCTTAATCCTTGTACCTCCAGACCCCAGACCACCTTAACCAGTTTTCTCTTCACCAGCAGTTTCAGCAAACAAAACCTTGTCTCTCCCCCCCCCTTTTTTTTTCCTTTGAGTTTTGAGGGAGGGAATAACTCAAACATTCCTGGCATAGCAACCCTGAACCGTTGGAAGAGATGTTGCCGTAATATTTACCTTTAGCAAATTGCTCCGGGCCCCAAGCAGAAATTCTTGCTTTTTTGCTGTCTAGCAAGAAGGACAACTGAGAGGATTAAAGGCCTGGAGACTAAAACATAGGAAGAACGGTTGCAGGATTTGGGAATGGGCAGTCTAGAGAAAAGAAGGACTGGGGGGGGGGACTTGATAGCAGTATTTCAGTATTTAAGGGGCTGCCACAGAGGAGAGGAAAGATCAGCCTATTCCCCAAAGCACCAGAAGGCAGGACAAGAAGCGACGAATGGAAAGGAATCAAGGAGAGAAGCCACTCGGAATTAAGGAAAAACTTCCTAACAGCGAGAACAATTAACCAGCGGAACAACCTGCCACCAGAAGTTGCGGATGCTCCAACACTGGAAGCTTTTAAGAAGAGACTGGACAACCATTTGTCTGGAATGGGATAGGGTTTCCTGCCTGAGCAGGGGGTTGGACTAGAAGACCTCCCAAGGTCCCTTCCAGCTCTTTTCTGATTTGCTTGGGAAAAGTTCCCAAGCTGAGTTTTGCAAACTTAAAGTCTGTTTTTGTCCCCACTCCTCCCCGTGTGGGAATGCAGGTTGCCTGGCTTAGGATCAGGAGTAGGGGGGGGGGAAAAATCCAGTATTGACGGTTGTTCTTTGTCCCTTCCCATTACGTTTGAAATGGTTGTGTTTTCAGTTTGTTTCCAAGGTGGAGCCTTTGCACAATGCACTGAGATGCTTGAGGGCAACTAAGGCAAGGAAGAGGAATTTTAATTTTTTTATTACGTTTTATAATGAAAGGGAAGGCCGACCTCTGGTTCGGGGAAGCAGATAACGACAGGGAAAGGACTTTGGATCAATATATCCTTGCCCTTGGTAGTTAGAAAATACAAGCTGGGTCGGATGGGACAAAATCTGATTTTGATCAGCGAATCAGCTTTGCAGCCTCCGGGACGGGCCAGGAAAACAGCCAGCATCCTTCTCCAGCGGGCTAATCTCCACCAGCGTCTTTTCTGCATGTTGGAACTTGCCCCCCCCCTCCCCGTCCAACTCCGACTCCGGGTTCAGGTATCAGCCAAGCAGGAATCCAATCCCAGAGGCTTGTTTACCTTCAATCTGGCAGGATAACCAGCCCTGACTCAGGAGCCTGGAATGTCCGGCACATAATGTCCCAGCCGGGCTTGGAAGCCGCACCAGCCTGGCTGGATCTGGATGACTTCAGCAGTTCTCTGGGCTTCGTTCCATTCTGTTATTCCCCGGCGGCAGGAATGGAACAAGACTCAGGCGTTTTATTATCCCTTGTCCTCATTGCAGGCTTGGTTTGATCCCTGCCCAGCTGAGGTTTTCTTTTGTAATCCATTGGGGACCAGAACTGAAGAAGCTTCTTGGAGGAGAAGCGAAACGTCTTCAGGGAGGGGGGGAAACCCCTTGAAAAGCACCTTTGGGACAATCATGACCTGGAGGATTTGAGGATCCTGGTAGCTATTGAGGATCAAGGAGTCTTGTCCCACTTGGACTTTCTCCTGTTCCCTGGGCATGTGCAGAGTTGCTTGGGGATGGGGCTGTGTCGCCCCCAAAACACACCAGGCGTGGTACAGACCGAAAGGAAATGAGCTTCCACCCACCACCTCAATCAAGAGAATTCAGTTTTGCTGAGAATCTGCTCTTTGGAAATCCTACTTCTCTCCCCTGCCTGAGTTGCGTCAAAGCACAACAGGATCACGTTTTTCTTTTGTCGCTTCCTCCTGTTTTTGTCCCATGGCTCAGTCCAAATTAGGAATGGCTGGATGGACGGATCTGCTGGTCACCAGATCCACTGGTCAGCAGCACCACCACCGTCCAAAGCAAAGGCTCAGAACTCACCTGCAGCGACTCCTAGTGGTCAAAAAGAGGTAGCGCCTTTGCGACAATTGCGACTCCTAGTGGTCAAAAAGAGGCAGCGCCTTTGCGACCGACGCAACGACACAACTAAAGTCTCTGAGCCGTCTTGACCTTGTGGACTAGTAGTCTATGTGGCTTTCTTGGCAAAGGCCCAGAAAGGCCTTTCTTTTTGACTCCCTGGCTTTCCTTGTGGTCTCCCATCCTTGTACTCACCAGATCTCACAAGTTCAAAGTCACACCCCCCCCAACTGGGCTATTAAAGAATAAAAGCATATATGTTCATATCCTGGGCTCCCAATGCTTTCACGGGTGAAATAAAATTCCCCAAAGTCACGTTTGTCTCTGGCTGAGGAGGATGGCAGGTGTAGTCCAAGACTGAAACGGAGGGAAGCTGTTCCTCGATTTAAGTTCGCCCTTTGGCCCTGATCAGAGAGGAGAGGGGGGGAAGATCTAAAACTTCCTAGGGGGCCGAGGAGAGCAGGGACCTGGTATTCTTTGGGTTCTGTCCTAACTTGACAAAAGAAACAAGAGTCCTTTTTTTAAGAAAAGAAAAACTCTGCATAACTTTATTCAGGATTGACAAACAAAGCAATCAATGGAAAAGGGAGGGCGAGGAAGACAGAAGCGAGCAATGCCGAGACTTCCAACAGAATCGGCCGTGAAGTGAAACGGTCCCCGGATTTTTAAACGTCAGCTTGGCAGCGCCGCGAAGCAGAAAAGGAGAGCAAAATCTTTGGGAAGCTGGCTGTGAAATGATTGTCTCTAAACACAAAAGGCTGCTGGTGTCCACAGGATTTCCGCATGAAATGCCACAACACCACCCCTCTCTCCAGCCCCCTCCCAGGTGAAATATAACCCCCCCCAATGTCAAACTCAGAATGAAGCTTCTCCTCCTCGTTCTGCCTCTAGCAAAGAAGGGGATTTCTAGGGGGGGTCCACGGTTTTCCTGAAGATCGCTCCGCTCTTCCCCTTCCCCGTGCCTTGACTTGGCAACTGCTGAAGCCCCCCCCCTCTTTGCCTTTCCCACCTGGAGCCTTTGGGGAAGAGAAGCATCGATGATCAAATGAGGTGGGGGGAAGCATGCTCTTCCGCATTCCCTTTCTGCACACGTGCGCTGGGGGTTCGTCTTTGGGAGAAACGTGGAGGGACGCAGACCCGAGGAACGGGGAGAGGTATCAGCTGGGGCCTTGCCTTGTCGCCCCTGAGCTGCTGGCCGCCTCTGCCGACTTTTCGCGGCCGATCCATTGCAAACATCCTGTGGGCGCCCAGGAGCCCGAGCCTGTCGGACAGTCCTTGGATAGCGGCAGACGAGACTTAAGGGAAAGATCCGTGGGCTGCAGATCGTCTTCGGAGGAGTCGTGCCTGTCTGGCGGGGAGTCCGGTAAAGCCCGTCCGAAGGGCGGCGGCGGCAGGATCAGGGGACTCGACATCCTGGTTCGGATGACGCTGAGGTGGTAGGGCGGAATCTTCCTGGGGGGAGCCACAATGAGGTTCCTGGCCCCGGCCGGGGCTTCCTCCCTCAGCTGCTCAGGGGCCGGCTTCTTGGGCGCCAATCCCAGGGGTCCCTCTGCCTGGGAACTCTCTTTTCTCAAGCTCTGGGGGGGAGAATTCGAAGCCACGGGGGGCTCTTTCCCGCCTGCAGGCACCGCGACGGGCTCTGACTCCTCCTTGCCTTTACAGAGCTCTTTCCGGAGGATGCTGTTCCCCAGCACAGGAGGCTCGTCCGGCTTCTTCCGCGGCCGGCCACGCTTCCTCTTCACGGCCACCTCCCTGGGTCGGTCTGCCGGCCGCTTGGTCGGGCTCTTGACTTTCTGCGGATCACAAGGGCTCCGCCCGGCTTCAGTGCTGGACACTGCACTGGCTCCTCCAGAGGTGCTTTTGGGCTTTGGCCGGTTCTCGGCTGCGGGTGGGACCGCCACATTGATGACCGGCACCATGTTGATGACTGGCACGGCGGCCGGCTGGCTGACCAGGCTGGTGGGTCCGTTCACGGCCGAGGCTAGCAGAGTGGAGGGGGGTGTCCCCACGGACAGCGCCATTTTGACCGTTCCCCCCACCGGGGTGGGGGTAAGCTTAGGAGCCAGGACGGGGTGGGGAGAGTGGACAGCCGCCGTCCCAGGAGATACCACCAAACGGTCCCCGGGCTGGACTTGCACACGGGGAAGCAGCAAAGGGAGACGGGCCACCAAGGCGTTGACCTGCGGGCTGCTGGCCTTCTTGGAGGGCACGTCCGCCGGCTTCTTGGCTTCGCTCCGTGGGGAGGGGGCCGAGGGCTTGGGCGCGTTGTCTGGTTTAGCCTGAAATGCAAAGATCAGAGAGGAAGGATGAGAGAAGCCCCCAACCCCTTCAGCTCCTCCGTGTGGCTAGTCCGAGGGTCACAGTGGCTACTTGGAGCCCACATTGAGAAGTAACGTAGCTGGGAAACGGCGGTCTTTGTTTGCCTGCCGTTTCCTTCCTTCCAGATGTGTTTTCTTGCGGTTCCTGGTTTGGTCCTTTAATCGTGAGCTGGGTCTGGGGTCTACATCGCCCACCGTTTGTCGGATCTGATTTATACAAAGCACATTTGGGGATTCCTCTGCCTGGTCCACTTGGCCCGTCTCCCAGACTCCTGTTTCTCCTGGGGTGGCTAATTTCTCCCCCCCCCCCCAAACACACACAGATACACGCCACCGTCTCGTACCTGAGGTTGTGTTTTGGCTGCATTTTCCGCGGCTTCCGGCTCGCTTTTCTTTGGGGGAGGACGCTTGCCCCACGAGCTCTCGGGGTGCTCTGCAGGCAGGGGACATTGAACCAAAAGAATATCAGCCAATCGGGGTTTTTAGGGGAGGGGCTGCAGGCAGAGAGGTGGGGAAGGGGACAGCCTCAGACCCCAAAGAGGATCCCAGCGTGAAGCAAGTTCGGCCTTGCTGGTAAGAGGCATCTTCCACCCTGCCATCCCCCAGAAAAGATGGCACTACGTCAGGACCAAAGGCAGGCCAGCCCATCCCGCCATGCCCCAGGCAGCCCAATCGCCAGCTCCCACCTGTGACTACCGTGGCCATGACCAGGTCGGCGTGGGCCGAGCGGGAGCTGATCAGGTGCTGCTGGAGGAGGAACTGGGCCACCTCCACGATGCTGTCAAAGGAGCGCTTGAGGATCTTCTCGGCCCAGTTGCAGGTCAGGGCGCAGGCTGCTTCCACCACCTCGTCGTTGTAGGAGTGGGCGGTCTCCGTCCGCTCCAGCTGCAGGGACACGGAATTGGCCTCAGCCGTGGATCGGCTGCCACCTCCACCTGAGTCTTCTCCAGCTGCCTTCCCCAACCCCTGGAGCCCCCCCCCCCAAACACAGCTGGGAAGGGAAGAAGTCAAATACAGAATAACAGAGCTGGAAGGGAACCTGGAGATCCTCCAGCCCAACCCCCTGCTCAAGCAGGAGACCCTATCCCAGGGGTAGGCAACCTTGGCTCTTTTAGGACTCGTGGACTTCAACTCCCAGAATTCCTCAGCCAGCATGGCTCAGCATGGAAACCTCTCCATTTCTCCTCAGCATGGCTGGCTCAGGAATTCTGGGAGTTCAAGTCCACCAGTCATAAAGGGAGCCGTGGTTCCTCCATGCTGGCTCAGGAATTCTGCGAGTTGAAGTCCACAAGTCATAAAAGAGCCAAGGTTGCCTACCCCTGCCCTATACCAGTCTGGACAAACGGCTGTCCACTCCCTTCTTGAAAACCCCCAATGATGCGGCACTTCTGGAGGCAACTTCCGTTCCACTGATTAATGGTTAATTGAACTAAAAATGCAAGCGTGTCATTCTTGATCAGGAAAGGGGTGTAACAAAGGAGACCCCAGCCTGTGGCCGAAAACCACTCCACCCGAGCTGTATTACAGCAGGAAAGCTTTACAAAGGTTACAGAAAAAGCCAGTTGGAAATGCCTCCTGGGAGCTACGTGGAACCTCCAGCTGCAGGGATAGTCTGCCTCTTCAGGGACAAAGCTACGGGGTCCGGGCTGCCTTGTCTGTCTCAGTTTGATCTCAATTCTCAAGAGAGCAGCAGGCGCTTCGCGAGCGAGTCCACACAGCTTACGGTCTCTGTTTCTTTAAGGTCCAGGCTGGGCAGCGGAGACATGTTGACCACTGTTTTGCGACGGATCCCACTATAGCAATATGTTGGAAGAGAATTAAGGAGCAACGAAGGGGGACGGCCCTGAACGTTGGGAGTCCAGAGGGCCGGGTGAAAACAAGGCAGGCCGAAAATTCTTGGGGACCCCCTCCAAGGTGGAGAGAAGGGCCCCCGCCCACCCACCCTCCAGTCCCTGCATCGTAGGGAAAAAAGGATATTTGGATTGCCCACGTCCCCCCAATCTTCTCGCTTTGATGTTCGGGAAGATCTCCCGGATGATCTTGCCAAAATTGGCTGCGCTCAGCGAGCGGCTGCAAAGGTTGTCGCAGTAGCGCCTGCCGAGAGAGAGACGAAGGGCGGCCACGTTTTCTTCCGGGGCACCCACCCCGCCGTGGCCTGCCAGCCCAGGACTGTTACTGTTGGGGACACCCAAGGGAGCCAGCCCACCCACCCCCCGGAGAAAGGCCGTAGCTCACCCCAGATTACTCACTTGTAAGCATCGTACACGTCTTGCTTCGGCAGGCAGGTGTCGAGATACTCCTCCAGGTGGTTCCGTATCCAGGTACAGGCGTGCATCTGTTCTGCTGAATTGAGGGAAATGAGGTCCAAGCTGGGGAAATAAAATGAATTGGATCAGAAAGAGAATCACTGTCTCTATCTACGTGTCTATCATCTCTTTCTTTACCTCCCTCCCTTTAGAGCAGGGATCTTCCAACTTGGCCCTTTGAGGACTTGTGGACTTCAGCTCCCAGAATTCCTCAGCCAGGCACACGTGCCTGGCTGAGGAATTCTGGGAGTTGAAGTCCACAAGTCTTCAAAGGGCCAAGTTGGAAGACCCCTGCTTTAGAGGCTCCCCGGCTCCCCCATAGAATGGCTCTGATGTCTTCCAAATGGTGCTTCTCCTGTACACACACACGTTCAGGAGACCACAAAGCCTACAGAAGCTTAATGCTTACTTACCTTTTTTCTCCTGAACTTGGCCCAGAAGGCAGCTGAAGATACAGATAAAGTTTGGCGTAGTCTGAAAACTTCTGGACATCTTGCTGTTAACGGCAAATGCCGGGAGAAAGAGAGAGGGAGAAAACTGAGGATCGGTAGGAAGCGAAACCCCTGTGCTTAGGGAGCAGACCCTCATGGCACCCCAAAATCTTTTACTTGCTGTTTATCATTGCAAGGAGCCTCACGCAGGGATTCCAGTGGAGAGATCAGGCACTTACCAAGATGGAGTCCACTTTGCTCTGGATAGACTTTCTGTTGGACAAAACGGGAAAAATGCATTGCGTTGGGGGCAAAAATCTGCTTTGAATGGAGCTCAGCGCCCGGAGGATGAGCCTTGCTTCCTGGCCAGCAGTAGGGAAGGGGTTGGGATGGAATGGAGGTCCCCGTCTATTCCTGGTGGCCTCCCATCCTATAACTGACTCTCCTTAGCTGACTCTCCAGGCCTGACTCTCCTTAGCTAAGAACACACTTGGGCAATTCATCTACTTTTTTTTTTCCAACAGCAATCAGAATGACCGCCCTACACTTAATTCTCCAAAAGTTGCCCCTGGTCTCTCAAAATACCCCTTGCAATGATGCCTTTCATCTTCGCCAGCCACTCCTCGTTTCCTTCAATAGCCTTCTAAACTTAAGCCGTTTCTTGTGGCAGGGAGTTCCACAGATTAAGCAGAACATTTTGTGGAGAAGCGGCGACTACGGCGGCCCCGAATTGAGCTGCCCATTTTTTTTAATATTACTGTACGAGGCTAGGAATTTAGTTTCCGTCTGCACTCTCCTCATCTTCCTTAACTGGACCCGGTACACTCTTGAGTTTCCGAGACCCAAGAGAAAAATCAAGAAAATCACGTCTCCCTTACGAGATGGCGCTCTTCAGCTTCTGCAGCAAGGTNCCCCCGCCCACCCACCCTCCAGTCCCTGCATCGTAGGGAAAAAAGGATATTTGGATTGCCCACGTCCCCCCAATCTTCTCGCTTTGATGTTCGGGAAGATCTCCCGGATGATCTTGCCAAAATTGGCTGCGCTCAGCGAGCGGCTGCAAAGGTTGTCGCAGTAGCGCCTGCCGAGAGAGAGACGAAGGGCGGCCATGTTTTCTTCCGGGGCACCCACCCCGCCGTGGCCTGCCAGCCCAGGACTGTTACTGTTGGGGACACCCAAGGGAGCCAGCCCCCACACACACCCCGGGAGAAAGGCCGTAGCTCACCCCAGATTACTCACTTGTAAGCATCGTACACGTCTTGCTTCGGCAGGCAGGTGTCGAGATACTCCTCCAGGTGGTTCCGTATCCAGGTACAGGCGTGCATCTGTTCTGCTGAATTGAGGGAAATGAGGTCCAAGCTGGGGAAATAAAATGAATTGGATCAGAAAGAGAATCACTATCTCTATTTATCTACGTGTCTATCATCTCTCTCTTTCCCTCCCTCCCCCCCTTTAGAGCAGGGGTCTTCCAACTTGGCCCTTTGAGGACTTGTGGACTTCAGCTCCCAGAATTCCTCAGCCAGGCACGTGGAATTCTGGGAGTTGAAGTCCACAAGTCCTCAAAGGGCCAAGTTGGAAGACCCCTGCTTTAGAGGCTCCCCGGCTCCCCCATAGAATGGCTCTGATGTCTTCCAAATGGTGCTTCTCCTGTACACACACACGTTCAGGGGACCACAAAGCCTACAGAAGCTTAATGCTTACTTACCTTTTTTCTCCTGAACTTGGCCCAGAAGGCAGCTGAAGATACAGATAAAGTTTGGCGTAGTCTGAAAACTTCTGGACATCTTGCTGTTAACGGCAAACGCCGGGAGAAAGAGAGAGGACGAAAACTGAGGATCGGTAGGAAGCGAAACCCCAAGACGGGAGCTGCGCTTAGGGAGCAGACCCTCATGGCACCCCAAAATGTTTTACTTGCTGTTTATCTCTATCATTGCAAGGAGCCTCACGCATGGAGTCCAGTGGAGAGATCAGGCACTTACCAAGATGGAGTCCACTTTGCTCTGGATAGACTTTCTGTTGGACAAAACGGGAAAAATGCGTTGCGTTAGGGGCAAAAATCTGCTTTGAATGGAGCTCAGCGCCCGGAGGATGAGCCTTGCTTCCTGGCCAGCAGTAGGGAAGGGGTTGGGATGGAATGGAGGTCCCCGTCTATTCCTGGTGGCCTCCCATCCTATAACTGACTCTCCTTAGCTGACTCTCCTTAGCTGACTCTCCAGGCCTGACTCTCCTTAGCTAAGAACACACTTGGGCAATTCATCTACTTTTTTTTTCCCAACAGCAATCAGAATGACCGCCCTACACTTAATTCTCCAAAAGTTGCCCCTGGTCTCTCAAAATACCCCTTGCAATGATGCCTTTCATCTTCGCCAGCCACTCCTCGTTTCCTTCAATAGCCTTCTAAACTTAAGCCGTTTCTTGTGGCAGGGAGTTCCACAGATTAAGCAGAACATTTTGTGGAGAAGCGCCGACTACGGCGGCCCCGAATTGAGCTGCCCATTTTTTTTAATATTACTGTACGAGGCTAGGAATTTAGTTTCCGTCTGCACTCTCCTCATCTTCCTTAACTGGACCCGGTACACTCTTGAGTTTCCGAGACCCAAGAGAAAAATCAAGAAAATCACGTCTCCCTTACGAGATGGCGCTCTTCAGCTTCTGCAGCAAGGTGTTCGGCTCCGTGCCGCAGTCTCCCTGCACCTCGGCCTCCAAAATCTCGCTCCCGTTTTCCACAATCTTTGCCAACAGGCCGCCGTCGTCCGCCATGGCATCGGTGCCCTTGAACGAGAAGAAGGAGCCCTGACTTCCTTAGTATCTCCGTGGGAAGCCTCTTTGGGGCAGGCGTCTTTTATTTTTATTTAATTTCATATGAAACTTCCCGTTTCAACCACTGCAGTTTTTTTTTTTTTTTACTTTGTTCTTAGTTGTATCGTAAATCTCGTGGCACCGAATAATAGCTTTTAATCAATGGAAAACTTGGGGGGGGGCAGAGATCTTGCATCTGCACCCGGGACTGATTAAAAAAAAAGTGGGAGAAATAGCTCAGAACTTCAGAAAAGGGGTCTACTTTAAACTTTCTTTTCTCCTTAATCCTTCCCACCCGTTTTTTTCTTTCCAAGGCGGCTTTCCATTTGTGCCACCGAGCCGGGCACAAGAGGGCATCTCTGGGTCCCGTTTAGCCCTCCTGCCCTGGAGAAGCTAAACACCAAGTCTGCATCTTCTTTGCAACTTCCTTTGCCCAGGGAAGCCTTTTCTGGGTGCAAAGCCCCCCCCCGGGCCCTTTTTCTCCCACGATGGGGAAGGGGGGGGAACCCTTAAACTTCTGGGCTGCCGCATCTTGGCTGGCACTTAGCTTCCAGGGAGAGGGAAATTCAAATGAATGTTTGATTCTCCCAGAGAGAGAGAGAAAAAAAAGCTGCAGCCAGCCGGGAAGAAAGCAAAAGAATCCCGTTGCAAATTGCTGTTTTTCTTTCCGCAAAGGAGTTTCGCAATCCCCTGTTTTTAAGAAAAAGGCTTCCCTTCTCTGGGAAGGGGGCTGCTTTAAACCCCCTCCCCCCACCCCACTGGGACTCCCCAGTATGGTTATTTCGAGGCATTTTATTGCTTTTAGCTTCCGTTTCCTCCTCCTTTCTCTCTCTGCCCTGCTGTTTTGTTTTGTTTTTTTGCAACTGTAGCCCCTGCAAAGCTTTGCAACTAATAATAATAATAATAATAATAATAATAATAATAATAATAATAATAATAATAATAATACAAATCCAGTCTGAACATCTGGCTGACTGTGCGATGATCCATAATAATAATAATAATAATAATAATAATAATAATAATAATAATAATAATAATCCAGTCTGAACATCTGGCTGACTGTGCGATGATCAATAATAATAATAATAATAATAATAATAATTAATAATTTAAAAATCAGCAATTTAGGGTGGCTTTCTCGGGTGGGGTTGACTTACCTATTTCCTCCCCCCGGCTGCAATTCTCCGGCCTGCTCTCCTTAGACGGCTCGATCAAATTGCAAACAGAAAAAGAACATTTTGCACGCCGGAAAAAAAGCACCGAAAACAGGAGAGAAGCCTCTGCAAGTGCCTGAGCCCGTGCAAAGGGTTAAGGGCCCCCCCTGTTTGCTCGGGCGGGTCCCGGAGAGCAAAGTCCCGGCCGCGTCTCTGCCCCGCCGCGCATCTCGGCCACTTTCGCTCTCGGAAATAAAAGAGAAAAAGAAAGTGGCCCTTCTCTCGGGCGGGAGGGCAGACTCAGGCTTTTCTTTTTCCCTGATTGGCCAGCCCGCGCCAGTTCTGCCCGGATACTGGCGGTTGCTCTAATGCAAATGGCTGCCTCTGTTTTTTTTCCACCCGGATACAAGCCGGGCGCGGCCGCCGATTGGTTGAAGGGGCCGGGAAGTCTGCCTGGCAACACGTCGGCGATTGGTCGGGGCTCTGTCAGTTTAGAAGCGAACTAGGAAGAAGAGGGCGGGCGGGGGGGGGGAGGAGAGAAAGAGGCTTCAGATAGACTGGGCTGATCCACGGAGAAATACAGTTGGTTGTGGCTCTTCCTCCGGGGTGGATCGTCTGCTGTTGCAGAAGGTGTGTGTGTGTTTGTGTGCGTGTGTGTGTTGCAGTAGCATCTCCACGCTTCGAAGCCAAGGAGCTGTTTTCTTCTCTGCCTGGGTTGGTACTCCACCTCCCATAATCCAGGGCGGTTGTGTATTGCGGCTAGTCGCAAGCAAAGAATGAAGGATTCCATGGGCCTTTAATTGCTTTCCCAGGGTGAGAAGATTTGCCCTCGTTCTCCACCCAGAGAGGAGATTCGGTAGCCAAGGAACCAGAAGGAGCAAAATTTTCACTGCCCAAACTTAAATTTGGGGTGTTTCTCTCCTTTGCAGAATTTTCAGTGGATTCAGTTTTGGAATCATCCCACCCCCACACTCCCGTCTTTCAGTTGTTGTATATTCTTGGAGTTTTATTTTTTATTATTATTCCTTTTGACAGCTTAGACTCTGCATTGGTCCCCAGGAAAGTAGGATTCGGTCTGGTGTTCAGGGTCAAACCCCCACACAAAGTTTGTACTCATTTCATAGGAAGTGTCAAGCATTTGACCCTATCAGGAAACTGGTTGCTCCCGAAATCTGTAGAATGAACAATCACTCATTTTGGGGAAAACAGGAAGAAAAGATTTTGGACGCTCTTTGATTGATTTAATCAACTACTCTGCCTTAATCATGGTGATGGTGAATCTGAGACTAACATTAATCAGTGTATGGCCTAACGTATGGATGGAGAGCCAGTTTGATGCTGGATTAGACCCTGGGAGACCCTGGATTTTAATCCTGTTTTAGGCATGAAAGCCAAAGTGAGCAACTTGGAGCCAGCCCTTCCGTCAGCCTTGGGGAAAAAAGGAGTCGGTCAAAATAAATTGCCTGAGAGACACAGAGACTTGGTCAACTGGTAATTTCATTTGAAATGAAGATGGTCCTCAAGAATCTGCATTGCCAAGAAAATGATTTATTATAATATATTTAATTTCTTTGTTTGCATCGTCTTCAGAGGCGGATATCTGTGCTACTCCACAAGCCAACATTCTGGTGTTGAGTTGTTCCACAGCCCACTTCCTGCCCCCTAATGCTAGCTTAGCAAGAGGGTGGGCTCGGAGGAGGGTCTCAGGTCCAGATCTCCGAAGTGCAGTCTCCTCCCGGGTAACGCATTTCGTATGCACGGGAGGGACCGTACGGCTCCTTCCCGAAATCCACCAGGAAATCTGGGTTCACACAGAGGCCCCCTCTCTCGGTGTCCACATCAATCTGGAGCATGACTGACCCGTCCCTGCAAAGGAAGAAGAATTCAAGGGTAAAAAGGAGGGTCTCCCTAAAGTTAACCCAGGAAGAGGAAGAGGAAGAGGAGAGAAACATTTGCAAATTTGGTATGAGTATTAAGACCAAAGACTTCGTACCTGACCGTTTGTGGGTAATACTGCTTGTCCCACGGTGTGCAGAGACTGTTGGTCACATAAAGCCTTTTTCCGTCCAAACTGAGCTGCAGCATTTGGGGTCCCCCGTGGACCCTCCTCCCCTGAGGGGAAAAAAAGCGAGGAGTGGTCAAGAAATGTAAGCGGTCCATAAAGGGGTACATATGGCTCCTTAGTTTTAGTCTGCCACAAGAGAGTCATTTGGGGCATTTCATGGTGTCCTACCAAGAAGGAAGAATCCACGCTATCCATTGACAGTTATGCCCAGCACGTTTCCCGTGTGTGTCTCGAACCCGGAATCCTTCTGAGAAAAGAGAGGCTCACCTGGAGCATGAATGGATCTGGTTGGCATTCGAGCTCTTCATCCCTAATCACGGTCACCGCCCCGCCTTTCTGGATGCTGCCTCCTACAAACACCTGCAGGACCCAAAGGGGTTAGGGTCAGTTCAGCTTCCCCAAGCTGCAATCTTCCTCTGCCCAAACGGCGGTATTTGGAGGTGGACCCCGTCTGAATATCGAGGTTCTCCCAGCAGATGCCTGGATTAGCCCAACGTCTGCTGGTTCTGATGGTGGAAGAAGGAGCTTCTGGAAGGACCCCGAGCCTTCCTCACGGTTGCAGGGCTTTTGAAGCTCACCTGGCCCGTCAGCCGAGGGCAGCGGGGGTCGCTGATGTCGTACTGTCGAATGTCGCCGTGGAACCAGTTGCTCATGTACAGGTAACGGTCATCCAGCGAAATGACAATGCCTGTGAGGAACGCTGGAGAGCAGAAGGTGCCGAGAAATAAGGTCGGGAAGAAGGGAGGATTGTTTTAATTCCGTGGCATGGAAAGATTTGGACGTCCCAAAATGTGCAGATCTCTCAGCCACGAGGCGCTCAGCCCGTTCTCCAAAGATGCTAAAAATCCTTAAAAGGGTGTGTGAACTCCAGCACAATACAAAGGTGGAGGATGGAGACCGAAGTACATAAAGCCCCCCTGAATTTTATTTACTCACATGTCATTTCAGGTTGGTACCAGCCAGTGACCACCTTCTTTGGAATCTGGATTACCTTCTCCGTGGCCCACGACCCATCCTGCAAGGGACACACAAGGCTGGTTGGGACGTGGAAAGCTCCCCCTTCCAAGCCCATTTGCACCAGCCCTTCCGCGTCCTATTGTGTCTGCCTCCTAATGGGAAGCCTTTCAAAGAGATTTGAAATATCCCTGCAAGCCAGCGTCTGGCTTTTTCAGCTTCTGTGGGGTCCTTGGGGCTCTCTAAATTCTCTTTCGGCCCCCTTTAACATCGTTTCTCTACCATAAAAAGAAACTGAACTAATGGATCCCTTAGGGCAGGGGTAGGCAGCCTTGGCTCTTTTATGACTCGTGGACTCCAACTCCCAGAATTCCTGAGCCAGCCATGCTGAGGGGAAAGGGAGAGGTTTCCATGCTGAGCCATGCTGGCTCAGGAATTCTGGGAGTTGGAGTCCACGAGTCATAAAAGAGCCAAGGTTGCCTACCCCTGCCTTAGGGGGATCCCCTTTGTCCCCAAATCTCCCAGGGTAGTCTTCTGACTTTGCGGCTCAACATTCAGGTTCCTGTTGCTAATGATGTCCATATCGTCATGATAATAGTAGACGAATTACAGGTAGTCCTCAGCTTACAGCCATTCATTAATCAACTGAAATTACCATGGTTCTGAAAAAAGTGAATTATGACCTCTGTCCCCAAGGTCGTGTGTGGTCAAAATTCGGCCCTTGGCAACAGGCCTGTATTTAGGACACTTGCGGTGTCACAAGGTCCTCATTCACGACCTCCCCGGAGGTCTTTTGAGAAGCGGTCAATGGGGGAAGCAGGATTTCCTTAATGACCAAGTGATTCGCTTAACAACCGTGGCAAAAAGCGGGTAAAAATCAGATGTGACTCACTTTCGCTTAGCAATGGAAGTTCCTGCCCCAATCCTGGTCATAAGTCAAGAACTACCTGTAGTATGTTGGGTTGTTTTAACGCTGCACTTTATCCATTAATTCTGTAACTTATTCTAAGCCGAAGCCTCGGGTGCCAGTTCTTTCTCGCGGAAAGACGGGGAAAGGAGAAAGAAATCCTACTCGTGTTCACCTGCTTTCTGAAAATGTGGTGCAGAGCGCCTTCAAGGGCGCAGCCCACAAAGCCATGTGGGGAATCTGGGTTGTGCAGGAAGCGGACATGCAGGGGGGCAGAATCCTCCCCCAGGTCAATAGACTGGACAAGGCAGTGGGTGGTCAGGTCCCACACATTCAGGCAGCGTCCATAACGGCCTACAGAGGAACAGAGAAGAATCAGCTTCATTTCTTCTGGCGAGTAGGGATGCTTCCTACTAGAAAGTACCCCTGAACCCCCGGCCCGTGGACCGGCACTGGACCGGGGCATGCCAGAAACCGGTCCGCGCAAACAAGCAAAGCCCCATCCGTGGGATGCAGGTAGTACGTGAAACCAGGCCCCCTCTGGTCCGTGGAAAACCTTCTCCCCACAGAAGCGGTCCCTGGTGCCCAAAGGTTTGAGGGCCTCTGCCTTTGAGAAGACTGGTGGCTTTCTCACATTGGAGGCCTCCAAGCAGAAGCTGAGGGGCCATCTCTTGGGAAAGGGCTAGCTTTGGGTGGACAAGCGGGCTGGCTAGGGGGCCACCAGCACCCCCTCAGCGTCCTACTTCCTCAAAGAGTCTTGGCTCCCTCTTTGCGTTGGAGCGCAGACCTGCAGGGTTTTGAATTCCAACGTGCCAGAAGTCGGCATGGTCCTGGCATCTCACCTTTCCCCAGATCTTCAGGGTTGAACCCATTCATAAAGAATTTGGGGTCTCCTGCTTCAGTGCTGACCAGGACGTTATGCCTGGGTTGGAACCAGAAGTCGTATCCTTTTGCAGCCGCATCCCCGGGGGGGTTCCAGGTGCCTTTCACGTCCCACGTTTCCACATCCACAACAACAAATGCTCCTGCGATTTGGGGGTGAGGGGGGGAGAGGGGGGGAGAATGCAAATTAATCCAAGCAGGTGTAGGTGACTCCCAGGAAGGGTTGGCTGAAAGGAAAACCAATCTACCTTTTCCATTGCCATACAGGTCCCCGAGGGAGCCGATCAAGACATCTCCGGGGGGCATAAAGTGTGCAGTGCGTAATGAAGCCAGGTTGGTTTTACAGAAGACCTCTCTGGGCTCAATCACCTGTTGGGGTTGGGGAGGGGGAGAGAGAGAAAAATAAAAACCCTTGCGTTGCAATTCTGTTTTCCTCCTTTCCACCTCTGCAGAATGCTTTTGTCTAAAAACTCCAAAGCCCCTGTGAAAGTGGACTTTGGCTTCAGTCACTTATAAAGAGGTCAGAGGATCAGTAGTGGTGGTATACCCACAGCTTTAAAGTCCCTCCACATCACAGGGGCCTTTGGGGAACCCCTTCCAACCCAATTCCCTGACTTGCACCCTCTATCAGTGGGGGGGCCTACCTTAAACAGGCGGGGAGCATGGGGGTCAGTCCCGGTGTCCACAATATAAATCCGCGAAGAGCTGAAACACGGAAGGACCAGACAGTTGCGCTTCTTGGTGGTGTCTCCGAAGCAGCTGCTTCCAGTATTCCAGCCCATGCAGTGAAGCTCATCATTAATGTACGGCATTTGCAGCCGGTGAATAACCTGGTGGGGGAAGATTGGAGTGGCAGAGATTAAACAAGCATGATTCATCTTGTCGCCTGGAGTTGGGTTTCTCCACGTGATTCCCAAGAGTTTGTGATCTGCATATGTCTTTGGAGGCAAATGTGGAATGGAATTTTGTTAGTTAAGTCTACTTCTGCTGGGCGGAAGATCCTGTTCGTTGTGGATTGTTGCTGGCAGAATGCACGGTTTCTCCCACTTACTGGCAAGCAGACCCTCACCATCACACCACATTTTCCTCTCCTTCCCGGTCTTTCGTGCACCCTCTGCACAACATTGCTACACCGTTCCAACCCTTGGCATTGGGAGCTTCAGGAGTCTGTGGTACCAGCTAATGATTCCTTAGGCTTCCTGCAACTCTCCCAGGATGGTTCCAGTCTCAGCTGCACCTAGTTAAGGTGTCTGTGCTAGGTGTAACTGACCACGATTCTGCTGACACAAAAATGTGAACATGGCAGATCCGCCTGAAGATACTCATTAGGCCCCGAGGAACAGAGCGGCTGGAAAGAGTCCAGAAGCTTTGTTGGCTTAGAACAAAGGACTCCCTTCATTTGCTTTAACTTAATTATTCCCAGCTTGATTTCCTTATTCTAGTCATTAGTAAAAAGTGTCTTAGAAATTGAAAATATCTCTGGACGTGTTGTAAATAGCACAGATTGCCCTCCACTGAGGGCAACAGTTGCAACCGGAAACCTGGTCAGTGAGTGAAGCAGTCGTTAAGTGAACTGTTAGTCATGGGGGATTTCAATCTGCCATCGTTAGGTGAAGCATCTGAGGTGGCTCGGGAGTTCATGGCCTCCATGACGGCCATGGACCTGACCCAATTAGTAGATGTCCCTACCCACACCGGAGGACACACACTGGACTTAGTTTTTGCCTCCGGCCAGTGGCTGAGTGATCGTGGTTTAGGGGAAATAGTCGTT